GAGTATCCCAGAACTGCTGCTTACTGCGCCAGACGGCAGTACAGTGAATGTTAGTGGGCCATGTCATGAGCGCGCTGCGCCTCTACAGGACACTCTGACTTCTTTTGATTTAAAGTTTGAAGGGGCAGCACTGGTGTCAGTACCTGTCTGTACCTCTAACAGACATGTTCACTGGCCTTCTTCCTTAAAGATTGCTTAATTTGGGGGCTTAAATCTATGTTATGTCAGAGTACTATTTCTCACTGTGTGGCCTGCAGGTCACTAACAGCCCCCAGTGGGCAACACGAATATAATCCATGACATGACATCTCTGAAATATGAAAAAAGGAGAAGGCCTAGTTAGTCCTAATAATACAAATGATGTGTCTCTTTACGAATTCAACTTCACCACTAGGGGGAACAATTTCCATTGTAGCCTAGGTGTCAGCTAGCTACAGTACTGTGCAAAAGTCAGAGACCACTCTTTTATTTAGTTATTATTACTATTTAGAAATATTTCTGAGGATACCAGGTTATCACATATAAAACAATCTACTTGCATAAGGAAGAAGATCATCAAATGAAAACACAAAAAAAACCCAACTAAACCAATAAAATAGGAGATTTTAAAACTGGATTTCAACAAGTGTTAAAAGATTTTGAAGGAAAAAGATTCCTAACAAGACCTGGTAGACCACCAAAACTGTCACCATCAGATAAACAGCAATTAAAGCTTTCATCTTTGAGTGAGAGGAGAAAATCAAGCTCCGCTCTTGCTTCAGATCTGAAAAAATCCACAGGTGTTTTCATCCAACTGTCCACTGTGAGAACTCTACACTATGAGTCTGTAAGGATGTGTAGAGGTCAAGAAGCCCTCACTGAGAAAAAGAAATGGACAAAAAAGAAATCAAAGAAGCTTCTCAGTCCAGACCTCAACACTGAATGTGTTTGGGATTACTTGGATCATGAGAAGCAGAAAGTGCAACCAACTTTTATGACTGAATTTTAGAGGTGTGGAAAAATATCCTTGCAGATTGCTTTGAAAAACTGAAAACAAATCTCCTGAAAAAAATGAAAGCTGGAATAAAGGTGAAGGGTGGAAACACTTAACACACAAACACACATTTTCTAAACCACTTATCCTTCAGGGTCATGGGGAACACTAAACACTACAAATGTTAATATTATGTTTAATTGATGTTTCTTGCTTTTTCCCTGAAACTGGAAAATGAAAAAACTATACTTAATAGCACTTTTGACTCTGAATCAAATAAATGAAGGGTGATCTCTGGCTTTTTCACAGTATGGTGTCAAGCCAAGTCAAAGTTTATTTATATATCACTTCTTACAACAGGCAATGTCACAAAGCAGCTTTGCAGAAAAATCTGGGTCCAAGCTCCAATGCTCAAGCCAGTGGCCACAGTGGCAAGTAAAAACTCCCTAAGAGCAAGAGGAAGAAAATTTGACCTCAAAAGGGGACATTTTATGCGTGTATATATATATATATATATATATATACACAATGGTGTGAAAAAATGTTTGCCCCCTTCCTGATTTCTTATTCTTTTGCATGTTTGTCACACTTAAATGTTTCAGATCACCAATCAAATTTAAATATTAGACAAATATAACACAAGTAAACACAAAATGCAATCTATAAATGAAGGCCTTTATTATTAGGGGAAAAAGAAATACAAACCTACAGGGCCCTGTGTGAAAAAGTGATTGCCCCCTAAACCTAATAACTGGTTGGGCCACCCTTAGAAGCAACAACTGCAATCAAGCGTTTGCAATAACTGACAATGAGTCTTTTACAGCGCTGTGGAGGAATTTTGGCCCACTCATCTTTGCAGAATTGTTGTAATTCAGCCACATTGGAGGGTTTCCGAACATGAACCGCCTTTTTAAGGTCATACCACAGCATCTCAATCAGATTCAGGTCAGGACTTTGACTAGGCCACTCCAAAGTCTTAATTTTGTTTTTCTTAAGCCATTCAGAACTAGACTTGCTGGTGTGTTTTGGATCATTGTCCTGCTGCAGAACTCAAGTGCGCTTCAGCTTGAGGTCACGAACAGATGGCCGGACATTCTCCTTCAGGATTTTTTGGTAGACAGCAGAATTCATGGTTCCATTTACCACAGCAAGTCTTGCAGGTCCTGAAGCAGCAAAACAGCCCCAGACCATCACACTACCACCACCATATTTTACTGTTGGTATGATGTTCCTTTTCTGAAATGCTGTGTTACTTCTATGCCAGATGTAATGGGACATACACCTTCCAAAAAGTTTAACTTTTGTCTCCTCAGTCCACAGAGTATTCTCCCAAAAGTCTGGGGGATCATCAAGATGTTTTCTGGCAAAACTGAGACGAGCCTTTATGTTCTTTTTGCTCAGCAGTGGTTTTCGTCTTCGAACTCTGCCATGCAGGCCATTTTTGCCCAGTCTCTTTCTTATGGTGGAGTCATGAACACTGACCTTAACTGAGGCAAATGAGGCCTGCAGCTCTTTGGATGTTGTTGTGGGGTCTTTTGTGACCTCTTGGATGAGTCATCGCTGCGCTCTTGGGGTAATTTTGGTCGGCTGGCCACTCCTGGGAAGGTTCACCACTGTTCCATGTTTTCGCCATTTGTGGATAATGGCTCTCACTGTGGTTCGCTGGAGTCCCAAAGCTTTAGAAATGGCTTTATAACCTTTTCCAGACTGACAGATCTCGATTACTTTGTTTCTCATTTGTTCCTGAATTTCTTTGGATCGCAGCATGATGTCTAGCTTTTGAGGATCTTTTGGTCTACTTGACTTTGTCGGGCAGGTCCTATTTAAGTGATTTCTTGATTGAGAACAGGTGTGGCAGTAATCAGGCCTGGGTGTGGCTAGGGAAATTGAATCTTTGTCTAATATTTAAATTTGTTTGGTGATCTGAAACATTTAAGTGTGACAAACATGCAAAAGAATAAGAAATCAGGATATGTATATACATGTGTATATATATATATATATATATATATATATATATATATACATGTGTGTGTGTGTGTGTGTGTGTGGTGTGTGTGTGTGTGTGTGCACATATATACATATATGTGTATCCTACAAATGCAGAAATGAAGATGAAAACCTTCACACATGCCTAAAGTGAATCAGCATCAAGGTTATTCCGGCCTGTTTGGCTTTGAAGGAAAAATGTTGCCTCTCGATTCAGAGTTCTTTTGTTTGGAGTGACCCTCCACTAAAATTTAGTGAAAAACACTCATCTACATCAACGTAAAGAGTTAATTTCCTTTCAAACATGCCATTAATGACTATATTTGCTGTTACAGTTCTCGGAACATGGTTAAGAGACTAATTTATTTCTCTATTGATTGCTCTTTCTAGGAAATCATTTCAATGTTTAAACAGACAAGGCATGACAAACTTTTTGCATTTGCAGAATTACAACAGTTGATACTTTTAATGACTTTTACATCTGCAGTTCAGGCTAATAAAAACATGAAAAAACTTTCAGATGGTAATCACACAGAATTTGCAGATTTTTGTAGTTAACGTAAATCCCACAGACTGATACAGCCTTGTTCCAGAGTCACAGACCACCACATACTGCTCTTTATTTACTTTCACTTTCCTCAGTAAGACTATGAAAGAAACAGTCCCATTAGATATAGGAATACATTACCTTCCAACATACACTTTCCAAATGAAACAGGAAAAGAGGGTTTCAGGGCTCTTATCATAATAAGGCCCTTGCCGAAAAGGACCATTTTTTATTTCAGACGAACCCACTGCTGAGGCATATTTCAAGAAAATAGACTGAAAGTTCATGTAACCTTTGCTCTGTTGATACAAGACCACACTGTCGGGGCCTGATTGCTAGCAGATGCCTCGCTGTAGCCTTGGACTGGACTGTTTTAAAAGGTCTGATCATGGGAACTGCACAGAGTTCCTCACTCTGCTGAACTGACACACTTGCAATTTGATGTTGTTCTTGTAGTATAGGTAAGTATATTGTAATTAGCAATTGTGAGAATGAGTTAAAGTGTGTTTAAACAATTACAAACAGGCTATGTATGTGGTGGATGTGTACAGTGTTTTACACTATAGTCAAGCCGCATCATAAAAGTCCAAGTCAAGTCTTGAGTCTTTAGTGTAGAATTTTAGCTTAGTCACATTGATTAGCTTGCATTGTACACATGTAAATTGTGTATAAAATCCTGTCAGGTTTGACATGGCTTCAAATAACAGATCTGTGTTTAAAGGAAGGAAGCAAAACAACTTGAAATGGTTGGTTTAGTCTGCAGTTTGAACTGCAAGCATGCTTGCTAGCTAGCTAGCGTAACAGCTAATTCAGCTAAAGTTGTAGTAAGTTGTAAAAGCAATGATCTGTAACTTACTAAAACTTCAGCTAAATTAGCTATTGCGGTAGCTAGCATACTTGCTGTCCACACTACATGCTACCCAAACATTTTGAGAAGTTTTGTCTCTTTCCTTTAAACACTGAATTTACTGCATGTAGTGCTTCAATTTTGTCCATCAGACTGAAGATTTTCTATAACTAAAGGCTAGTTATTTGAAGTCATATCAAACCTGATACCACTGTGAGCTGCAGGAGAGCAACCTTTTAGTGACTGAATATGACCATTGAAAAAATGACAGGCAAAGTCACATGAGTGATGTTGAAAATGTACGGTTTTATTTATTTATTTTATTTATTTACTCTCATGTACCACATCAAGTTCGGTGGTACTAATTTAATCAGTTCTAAGTCATAAGTCAAGTTGAGTTTCTGAGTTTCTCAAGTTCCTGACTCAAGGCCCCATCTCTATCAGAAAGTAATTATATATATTTTTTACACTCTGAAAAATAAAGGTGCCAGAAAATGTTCTTTGGAGCAAAGCCACAAGAGAATGAATTTTAGTTTCTTAAAAACTCCAAACCAAGAACGCTTATTTTGGAGGATGTATCTATATAGTGATATGTGACAAGTTAGTCTCAGAGATCTTTGCTGACTTCCTTTTCTTCATTTTAGGGCTCTATGACAAATGTTTCTACGCATCCTGTGACCGAGGGTGGTTACTAGGCATCAAGCCATTGAGTGATCAAGGCAACAGGGACCCTCGCTTCTTCTTCTCCCTCAAAACTGACCGAGCGCACAAGGTTACCACAATCACCTCCAATGCACCCTATTCGGCCAACCATTGGCACCATCTAGCCATCACCTACAATGGCCTCCACATGAAGCTGTACGTGAACGGGGCTCAAGTGGCCGTAAGTCGAGATCAATCAGGCGAGATCTTCAGCCCCCTCACCAAAAAGTGCAAGGTGCTAATGATAGGCGGCAACGCCCTCAACCACAACTATCGAGGAACCATGGAGCACCTGAGCCTGTGGAGGAGAGCTCTGACCCAGCGTGAGATCATCCGGTACATGCAGGGACATGCCCGTGAACACCCAAATGAACTCTCCCAACTGGTCATTCATGAGGACTTTGAAAACGCCTCTCAGAGGTGGTTGACAGTGAAAGATGGAACCTTTCCACAGACGATGCTCTCAGACAGGACATGGATGGGTGACCTGGGGAGCTCCACCCATACTGCACTGCTTCCACCGCCATGTGGCCAGACCATTTGTGACAACGTGGAGGTGGTAACCAACTACATCCGTTTCTGGAGCTTCCGCAAGCCCAAGACAGTGCGGTACCGGCTTGTAAACGTGTACGATGACTATGGCCGGTGGCCCACGGTCACGGAGCACCAAATCAACCTCCAACACCAACACCTGAATGACGCTTTCCGTGTCTACAACATCACCTGGGAGCGCACTGTCCACAACGTCTACAATTCCTCCCTGCGCAATCGTCTAGTACTGGCTAACTGTGACACCAGCAAAATCGGCGATGAGGAGTGTGACCCAGAATGCAACCACACCTTCACTGGTTTTGACGCTGGCTACTGCAAGAGGCAGACTGCAATCTGTCCCAAACACAAACAGGGGAATGGAGTTTGCGACCCAGAGTGTAACTTGGATAGCTTCTACTACGACAATGGTGACTGCTGCAACCCCAACATCACTGACGTCACCAAGACTTGCTTTAATCGTACATCGCCCTACAAGTAAGTCTTGCTATTTAATGTTATTTGGCAGCGATGCACCAATATGGGAACTGTGGATTGAAGCTCATATCTGATATCCTTCATGTACATATCTGCCAATGCTGATGCATATATCTGATATTCTTTGCATACATATCTGCCAATGCTGAACCATAAACATTTAGAAACATAGAAATTGGGACTACATCTACCTGGATGTATGTATTAGCATTACAGAGAAACAGTAGGTTTATTTTTATATGATTACAAATGCAGTAAAATGAATAAAATGCACACATTCTAGCAGAGCAGCCCAACATCACCTAAACATTGCGTTCTTCCAGAGTACAATAAATACATCAGCAAATATCGTTGAAAACATTGGTCAAATTTAAATAGATGTCCGATGACGTAAATTTTTTTCAAGCAATTATCGGCTGATAACAATATGACTCCTGTATCATCATGCATCCCTATTACCTGGTATTATATTTTCTTCACCTCCCTCTAGAGTTCCCTGACAGAAACACTGAGTATAATTCAAAAGTTTCCTTTTCATGAATTTTGTTTTGTCATACAGTACATCAGGACATGGCCTTAGAATGACTTTCTTGAAACTACTGGGTCTGAAAAGATCCAATATGAGTAACTTTTTAAGTATGCAAAGGATGTCTGGTCTGGAGTTTGAAGGTGAATAAATCACTTGCTATGTGGTGCGTTGGGCTCTACCTTGTATTTTAGCGTTCACTAGCAGTGTGTGTTTCACAGGTCCCTGCGGTGCTCTGTGGCATTCATTCAAAGCCAAGCAGCCGGTCCCTTTTTTGCTTTGCGGCTGAAACAAAGTACTCTCTTGGTGACCGGATGGGAAGAAAGGAGATGTTAGACATAGTTCTCCCTTTTTTGAGAGCTTATAAAAGTGGATTGATAGGGAGTAAGTGGGAATGGAAACTATGTCCCCCTGGACACCAGAGAGAGCCAATTACAGTTCAGAGCAGGATCTGTAACACTATTACTTACAGTAGTGGGGGCTCTTCTGGGAATGATATTCAGGAACATAACTTTCCAGAGATATGTTCAGATTGTAATGAATATTAATGGAGTTAAAATGCACCCTTTCTTTCTCTGGAATATGTGTTTACAGAGAATGTTCATTTCTCAAGAAGAGGATTAGAATGTTCACACATATAATATTCACAGGACTGTGGCAAAGTCAGAGACCAACATTTCATGTATTTACTTTGCAGGCAGAATGGCCATTAAGTACAAGTTATTCATTTTTCAGTGTAAGAAAAAAAACAGAAAACATATATCTAAAAGTAAATTACACAGAAACCTCCAGCACTAAGAATCATATCAAATCAATAGGTATTTAATTTTTCCATTGTTCACTCTCGTGCATCCTACTGCCATTTTAACTCCTCTGTCCTTCTAATATTAAAACCAGTGATTTACAGCTGTCTCCCTCCACAAAAGCTGCTCCCAAAGGAGTCACTGACATCATGTTACTCTTAAAAAAGACACTAACATTCACACAAGCAACTACCCAAACACACCTTAACTGCCTTTTAGATTTTTTTTCTCATGTGCATCTAAAGTCACTAAATGAGATATTTCTAGGTGATAAGATAGAAGATAATCTCCTTACATGAGGGGAAATTCCAAGAAAAATGTGTGAAAAAACAGGAGTTTCTAAAACTAGAGTTAAAAAACAACCGTGCAAGACCTGGTAGACCAGGGTTTCCAGTCTTATCCGCAAAGGGCCGGCTTGGCTGCAGGTTTTCATCCCAACAGAGCAGCCCATTTGGAATAAAAACCTGCAGCCATACTGGCTCTTTGCGGATAACATTGGGCACCCCTGGGGTCGACCACCAAAACTGTCACCATCAGATAAACAGTACCTAAAGCTTTAATCTTTCAGAGAGGAGAAAATCAAGCTCCATTCTTGCTTCAGATCTGAAAAAAATCACAGTTTCTGTCCACTCGTCCACTGCGAGAGGACAACTCAACACTATGGACCGGAAAGGATGTGTAGCTGTCAAGAAGCGCTCACTGAGATTTCTCTGAACATTTGCACTAGAACACTGAAACTGAGTACGGTTTTATGGACTGATGAGTCTAAATTTATAACTGAAATAGAAATTACAACCAAGTTCTAAAGGGACATTCACATTATCTCAGCAAAATATTTTGCTTGTGCCTTGCCCATTCACATTTAAAGGAGTCGCTTTTGCCAAGCTTTTGTTGAACTTCAACCCTACCTCCTTACACACAGCCAATGACAACAAAGTATTTTTTTCCCATTTAAAAATTCAGAATATTGAAAAACAGATTGTCTGCATTGTGGGTTTACCTGAACTGTACAACACTTAGTTAAAACAGGGATACAGGGACCAAATTGTAAAACCCTTCACAATACAAAATGTTAACTTGCAAACAGGGATACCAGGTTAGTTCCAAAAACTTTATTTGACTGCAAGTAGCATTGTAATAGCAAGGTAACGTTTACCTTAAGCGTGCTCGAGAGTGCTGGAATTTACCTCTGTAGAGAGAGTCGCATACCGTGCAGTAATGTGAATGTACCTTAAGACTGAACTTTGGAGGTGTGAAAAATATCCCTGCAGATTTCTTTAAAAAACTGAAAGCAAGTCTTCCAAAAAGAATGGAGGTCATAATAAAGACAAAAAGAGGACCCACTAAATACTGAAAAATATGATATTTAGCTGTTGAGGCTTCTGCTGACTTTTTTGTTAAATATATGCTTTCTGCTTTTTTTCTGATGCTGAAAAATGAATAACCTGTACTTAATGGCTGTTTAGGCTGGAAATTAAACAACAGGGTGGTCTCTGACTTTTGCACACTACTTTACATGGTGGGTTTGTTTTCTTGTGTTGTTGAGAATGTATCAAGCCTATAGGACTGTTTGCCTCATATGGCTGCGGTCAATCATTTTTGTTGCTGGATCCAGAAAGGACTCTAAACATTACCTCACCACACTGCGCTGCTGCTTGAAAATGACATAATGTTCTTGCTTCCTTTTCCTATCTGTGGTTTCGGAAGGTCAGCATCTTCATGTCTTCGCTGCCTGTAATCACAGCTGGTGTTATCAAACACAGCTCTGTGTGTGTGTGTGTTTGTGTGTGTGTGTGTGTGTGTGTGTGTGTGTGTGTGTGTGTGTGTGTGTATTAGGGAGGGCGAGGAGGCTGAAGCGTGTGAGTCAACCAGAGAGAAAAGAGCTCTCCAACTTGTTGCTTGTTTTGATTTGATTATGGTATGTCTGGAGCGCTTTGCCGAGGGCTGCATAACAAAATGATTTGACATTCCTTTCTGATTGTAGAAGTATGCATGAACAGAGAGTTGTGCAAGCATAGAACAATGGACTCGAATGCTGTGGTGAATCTGTTTGCCTCACACCACTGTTCTTGACTTATTTGTGCACAAACACTGACTCATGTTACTTTTGTAAAACCTATATTTACAAAACACAATGTACAAACAATGTTCTGGTATAGCATATGCTTTGTATCATACTGTGTTAATCACTTTCGATCTGTCAGGGTATGTCTATATTTTTCAAGGTTTAAGGTTCTGTACAAACTGAGTCATTGAGTAAAAAAGGATGACACCAGGTTTTCTAATTCTGGTCGTTTAATAGTTTGGCGAGTCTGGCATCTCATCTTCTATAGAGCTGTTTAAGTGCAAAACTGTAGTTGGGAAAGGCACTGCTTCCAAGAACATTATGTTTTTTGCTTATTTGCCTGTGCACTAATGGAGTGTAAAGTATGGAAGGCCATTTGACCTGTGCTCTTCATGAGGAGGCCAGAGTCAAGCCACCAGTATCTCTGTTAACTCAGTGTCAAAAGGCCCCTGACTTTACAAGTTGTGGTTTAAGCAGGCCATTTGCATGGTTTTCGACTAGTCAAGGATTTTGCTCCTTTGCTTTAAAGAGCCAGACAGGCCCATAAAAGCACCTGTTGCACAAAGTGAGAGGACCAGCCTCAATACACACATACACTCATGTCTGTTTTTATACCTTGTCAGGACATGATGTCCCATGGGTGTCTGAATATAGTGCTGTGCAAGTCAGAGATAACCCTTCATTTATTTAATTTCCAGTCAAAATGGTTCAGTATAAGTTCATTTCAAATTCATTTTTCAGGATATTTCTGAGGCGATTTTGGGACTTCTAACAACCATGCAAGACCTGGCAGACCACCCAAACTGTCACCACCAGATAAACAGTACTTAAAGCTTTCATCTTTGAGAGAGAGGAGAAAATCCTCAGAGATAGCAAAGATAGGACAAAAGGCTCCACTCTGAAAAAATCCACAGGCGTTTCTGACCATCCTTCCACTGTGAAAAGTCCAGACCTCAACATCATTGAGGCCATGTGTTTGAGATTACTTGGACTGTAAAATTGCAACCAACTTCTGTGACTGAACTTTGGAAGTGTGGAATATTATCCCTGCAGATTTCTTTGAAAAACTGAAAGACCCTTAAAAACAATGGAAGGTGAAATAAAGGAAAAGGGTGGACACACTAAATACTGAAAAAAAAAATCTATAATATATAAATTACTGAGGCTTCTGTGTAATTTTCTGATGTTTTCCATATACTTAAAAAGGATAACTTACACTTAATGGCCATTTTGACTGTAAATTAAAGAAATAAAGTCTGGTCTCTGACTTTTTTTAGCAGTGCAGTTGGAACAAAACTGCATATCTCTAAAAAGTTAACTTTTCTGAAAAAAAAGTATTTCTTTGTAAAAATAAAATTTTCATTAAAAGTTTGGATGATTTCTCTCAAAACCTTCACACAATATAAAGGCCATATGTTATGTTATATCACAAGGTTTTGATATAACAGTAATTACATTACTACCTAATAGGCCTATGTGTTTTTGCCTTTTCGGTTTTGAAAAATAGAACATAAAACCACCTAAAATCAGAGCCATTTTCTTCAAGGGTTTTTTAGTTGAATAATGGTTCTAAATAGACTCACTCAAGGAACGCTTTTCATGATTA